CTGAGACTGGTTACAACCATAGGAAGAAGATGAAATCCCTTCCCTGGTCAAAGATCAAGAAATCCTGGGYCTGAGAGGCAGATTCTGAATCTGCACTTGGACCAAGGAAGCCCTGACATGTAGCAGCCARTGTGGAGTGGCCACCATGTGGCAGTGGAGAACCACCTGACAAAGCCTCSTTGGCATGGGGCTGGGCCAGGAGGGTTAGTAAGCATAGCCTGAAATCTAGAAAAAAAGGCATCATTTTGCTACAACATCATATTTGAAACAAGTAAAATGTTGTGTCTCCATTTTTCTCATATCTAGCTGTTCTAGAATTTTCCTATTTGTTAGGTATTTACACAGGAAATTTTTTGCTTCTCCTGACACCTCCTTCCCACACCCAGCTCGTCTAAATTCTGGCTCTACCACACATGTCCCAAACACCAGATCTCATCCTACAAGGGATATTTTACAAGTGGGAGGGTTAGTGACCTTGGCATGAAACCTGAAGAATATGCTGGATTTTTCTCCAGTATTGTTTTCAAAATGGATGCACTATTTTTTGAGGTCTGTGTCTTTCTGATCTGACCTTTGTAGAATGTCTAGTATTTCCCAGTCCACATTGAAGCTTTATAATTGTCAGTAAATATTACAACATAGGTGTTGAATCTGCCTAGAGCCTGCTGTTGATATGAGGCAGAACACCCAAGATCTGCGTGAGGCATTCATACCAGGGACASAGAGTTATAGCACCACATTGAATATTTAAGATACCATGTACACTTTCAGAAGAACTTGATTGACTCASAGCCTAGGATCTGTACCTGGGACAGGATCCCAAAGCTGATAAAGCCTCTTACTGTCAACTGTACTGTTGGTTCAGATAACAAAAACACTCATCTCTATATAACCAGGCCATCCTAGTATTAATGCCAGAAGACTACCTAGGGTGGAGATATGGCCCAGAAATTAGGATCATCAAAAAAAAAGGAGTCTTCTGTGGGCTGAGGGTAGATCTTCAGAGCTGCCCCTCCCCTTTATCTGTCCCTGGGGATGAGCCCTGCTCCAGACACCACACAGCTTCCTATAGTAGCAGCCCTAACCTGGGMTGATTTGCATAATGGGCAGCTCTCCTCAACAAGGGAATAAGAGAAGCCTGGTTTAAGAAAGCCCATGTGGGACTCAASAAGCAGCCACAGGGACACCATGACCTGGATGGCCCTTCTCCTCAGCCTCCTGGCTCATTGCACAGGTGCTGTTCCAAGGCCCCAACCAATACCCCCAGCCCAAACCTCCTCTAACCAACCTGGCCCTAATTCTGAGCTCAGCAGGGCTTTATCTGTGGTGGGAAGGATGCTTAGGAACCTGCTGCAGGATGAGAATTTGGGCTGAAATTCCCACACTGTGCTCTCTGACTTGTGTAACCTCAGGAGGTAAGGGGTTAGGTTTGCTCATGGGTTCAAACCTCCATCTTCCAGTCAGGCTCATGGGCCCCTATGGCTGGTTTCGATGCCAGGGCAAGCCCTTGGGCATACAGTATTCCTGAAGCTCCTCCAGACCACATAGAAAACAGGCATCTCATTGGAAGTTTCCTTCATCATTAATTCCCCCTCTCCTTTTATTTTCTTATAGGAACTGAAGCCTCTTATGTGCTGACCCAGCCATCCTCAGTATCCGTGACCCCAGGACAGACGGCCAGAATCACCTGTGAAGGCAACAGCATTGGCAGCTATAGCGTGCACTGGTATCAGCAGAAGCCAGCACAGGCCCCAGTACTGGTCATCTATAGTGATAGCAACAGGCCCTCAGGGATTTCTGATCGATTCTCTGGCTCCAATTCTGGGAACACAGCCACCCTGACCATCAGCGGGGCYCAGGCTGGAGACGAGGCTGACTATTACTKTCAGGTGTGGGATTACCCTGTTGCTCACAGTGACACAGGCAGACAGGGAAGTGAGACAAAAACCTGCTACCAGCATGGCACCCATGGCCCCTTCCTGCCCTGGCCACCCTGATAACAGAGACTATAACACATTGAGTGGAGATTTCTGCTCCCTCCTATGCCCCCATGTTTCTGAGAGATAGGGGGCAGGTTCCTGCACCTCTCCATGATCAGTTGATTCCAATGGAACCTGAACTGCCAACTCCCAAAGGCCACAGAAAGTCTTCTGTCATACAAAACTGAGTCTTAGTATTAAAGAGAATTCCACTGTGGCAGGGTCTTAGTTATGGTGTGAAGGGGAAGAACAAGGAATGGTTCAAGTGTTGAAGGATGTGCCCTAGGAAGGTTTAAGACAGGTYTGTCAAGGTTTGACTAGTATTCAGGTAACCAGAATCATACTGCATGGAGTTGGGGCACACTAGGGATGGGAGGCTTTGCTGTGGGTGTTGAATAGTAAACTTCTATTTGATAAGCTAGCTGTTTGCCCACATTCGGAAATTTCATGAAGTAGGCAACATGGAAGGATGAAAGGTTCAACAGATTTATTTACATTTCTGTAAACACCAGTGAAAGTAAAGGAGCGATAACAATGCAGATCTGATATCTGTGAACAAAGAAGAGGAAGAAAAGGAAGAAAGATTGTATATAAAGAGTTTCAGGCTCTGAGTTTGAGCCTCAGAATCTGGCTGGCATCCCTAGAACTAAGATTTCCCAATCCATTAGAGGCATTATACCTGGATCAGACATAGCCGACTCTGTAGATTTCTTGCTGTGTTGACACAAAGGCCAGGGGCAAGCTAAAGGTGTATAGTTCTAGTGGGAACATGGATTTAKTAAGCTTTTTTATTTTTGTGACCAAAATATCTGACAAGAACTACATAGAGGAGGAAAGATTTATTTGGGACTCACAATTTCAGAGTCTAAGTCTACAGATGATCAACACCATTACTCTAGGGRTGAGGGAAGGCAGAATATCATGGTRGAAGTGTGTGAAGGAGGAAAGMAGCTCAGGACATGACTATTATGAAGCTTAGAGTGACCTCACTCACCAAAGGCATGCCCCCAATCACTCACCTCCTCCGGCCACACCCTACCTACCTATAGTTACMGCCTAGCTAGTAGAGATTAATATACTGATTAAGTTAAAACTCTTATAGCTCAATTGTTTCACAATAAACTTTCTTGCATTATCTCCCACATGAGCTTTGGGGGCACACCTCATATCTAAACCATAAAATTCTGTTCTTGTCCCCAAAAGCTCACACCCATCTCACTATGAATAATACATTTAGTTCATTTTCAAGAGTCCCCAGAGTCTTAACATTTTTATTTTTGAATTGTCTAAAAATCTAAGTTCAAAGTGTCTTCTGAGACTCAAGCAAATTCTCCACCCAAGCCCTAATAAAAATCAAAAGCAAGTTCCAGCTAGGTATAGCACTGCATGCCTCTAATCCCAGCAACTCTGGAGGCTAAAGCAGAAGGATGGCAAGTTTGAGGCTATCAGCAATTTAGTGAGGCCCTCAGGAACTTAGAAGACACTAAGCAATTTAGTGAGACTCTGTCTTAAATATTTTAAAAGGGCTAGGGATGTATCTCAGTGGTAAGTAAAATGCCTCTGGGTTCAAAGTCTCAGTGCAAAAAAAGAGTCTGTTATATATATCCAAAATCTGAAGGCACAGGCACAAAGTAACATTTCCATTCCCAAGGGAGAAACAGGAACACAGGGGCATAAGAAAGARGAAATAAAAGCAAAATAAAACCAAAATCCACAACCAGGCAAACAAATCCTGTAGCCCCATATCCATCATCTGGGGCACAYAGCAGCATGATGTTCTCTCCAAAGGGCTTATGTAGCTACACTCCTATGGCTTTGCTGGGTGCAGTCCCCATGGCCTCTCTCTTGGCTTCTTTCTGCTCATCCTTGCAGCTTTCCTCAGCAAACATATCATGGTACTGTCATCTCTTAATGTAGGAGGTCTCAATGCAATTTAGCTCCAATATCTCCATGCATCACCCTCTCAGGCAGCCCACAGGCATGCAGACCCTGCTACATGTATTATGGCCTTCCAGACCTTCCATTGATATCATGGTGGAAGCCTTCATAACTCCTTAAGTCCAATTTCCTGTAATCCTGCTGAATCAGCACTATGCTGTTGACACCAAGGTCTGCCACGATCTCAAACAGTAGCCAAATCTCTTGGGACCCTGGATGGAGCAGTCTCTGAGTGCCTAGGCAACTAAGCATGGT